CCGCAGCTTTGCCCGTAACTCCTCCAAGTGCTGCTCCACTTTGACCTTCTCTTCCTGGACTTTCTTCAGGGCCGAAGTTGTCCTTACAAGTGATTCTCTGATCTCTCGATTCTCCTTATCAAGATTTTCAACCTTGCGGTCAAGTTCAGAATTCTTGGCTTTTTGCTTTGACTCTAGGGTCTTCCTCATGTCACTGTTCTCTCGCTCTAACTTGCGTACAGTCTCCTGGAATTTTCTATTATCCAGCATGAATGTGTTGTTGGCTGCAATGAGTTTATCTATAGCTGATTTCTGGTTTGCATTCATAGACGTACTTGAACGGAGATTGGAGTTTTCCAGGCGGAAGTTTGTGTTTTCTTGTGCGATTGCATTGAGTTCTTCCCTCAGTTCCATGATTTGTTGCTGAGAACTTCTTTTCAGTTCCAAGTTGTCATTCCTGAGGTTGAAAATTTCCTGCATGAGGCGCTCTGTGTCATAAGAACTGAAATCCTGACGATCAAAGTCCATCCTGTCGTCCCATCTTCTTTGGTTGTTGCTGAAGTCCTCTTGCTGTGAAAACATGGGCTCATCTGAATAATGTCTCATCCTCTTGGTTTCTGGCTCGAACTCCGTGCGGGCCAAGAGTGTTGTGCGGAGGTCTTCTCCTCCCAGCATCTCTTCTCGGAAGTTGACAGGCGAGGTGCCATACTTTGGGGTGTCTTGATAACCACTGAAGGACCTGAACATATTCATACCTGGTGACTGCTGTCTCTCAGGAGGACCAAGAACAATCTCAAACTCATCCTGCAGAGCATGGAATACCTCATCCTCGTACTCTCTCCGACTCAGATGACGGAAACGGCAATTCTGCATGTTACAGACACCCTTCAGGAATTCCTTTGAAAAGAGAAAAACAAAGAGAATGTTGATATTATCTTCTACAAGACTGCTAAATAACTACTTATTAATGACAGAGATCATTTAACTCATGATTCAAGAAATAACATTCTAAAACCCACACATTATTTATTTATAACAAATAAGAAGCTCAAGATTGAGATTATAATGAGGTAGACAACAAAATATATAATGGAAAACAGTGTAAAATTAGACTGAGGAAATTATAGATGATTGCAAAGAGTTACATTTTCCACATCAAAAACAAACACATTCACTATTACAATAATAACACTCATAACAACACCTGCAAGAAGTACAGTCCCCCCATGTCTTAGAACAAAAGACAAAATAGTCTAAGAAAATCATAATGAATCAATTGCTCAAGAATAGTACTATAAAAATATCTGTCAATCTTCTTGGGAGTGGAAAGACCAAAATTGCTAAAATAACCTTATACACACGATGCATTATTAGCTATACCTTTTAGTCAACTGCATACTTTCCATTTAAAAAAATCCTTCTCTTGACATACCCTAGTCTAAATAACTAATAACCATATCAGTGGTTTACATTTTTTCAGTGCGCATTTTCTATGGCATCTATTTCTTCCCTTCCCTAATCCAACATGAATTAACCTTTCCTTGAATGAATGAGAATAACTTATCATTCAATCATGCATTAGGCTGGGTAATGTCCGAGGCAACCCAGGTACCACTACACCCAGTTGGGGAACCATTGGCTTAGATGCTAATCAAAGCCTATGCTATATTCTGTATCTTTTATTGCAAAGGGAAGATGGATGATTATACATGGCCCTAAGAATTCTTTGATACTACAATTATAGTCATTATCTAATCCTGCAATACGACGTTTCTGATGAAGATGTATATGACGAGCAAAATGAAAATTGTACAACCAGACCTTCACTGAAGAATTACTGATCTTCTTTCGTGCCAGCCATCAAAACTGAATAGCGTTCGTCCATGAGCAGTCCAATAAACAATCCTCTTTCTTTCCCACTATAACAAAGAACTCTCCTTCATGCACAGGCAATGAACAATCCTCATTTACACCTATTCCCCCCCACACACAAAGAAAAACCCTCACACATAGCCGCAGACACAAAGAAAAATCCCAATTTCTATACTTAGCACAACGAACATTCCTACCACTACCACAGTGAAACCTACACATCAAGCCTCCTTACCTTGCATGTGGGTCTTGTTCCCGTAAGCGCCACGTCGAGGAAGAGGGCTTTGCGAACAGCTTGGTCCACCACATGGGGAGAGATTTCCCCTGAAGCTCTGTAGTTGTCTTCATCTTGCTTTGTGATGTGGAAGAATCTGAAGGCATATCTTTGGTTATTTTTCAGTAAAGATTTTTTTTAAATAACAATGTACAAATAAAAAAACAAATCCAAAAACAAAAAACTGGCAGAGACCAAGATGAAGCTCATCAATTTCTCTCAAATTTTTTTATTTATCTCGACATAAAAATAAAGAAATAAAAAATAATCCCCCAAACCGTTCAAGATTGCCAAATATCTAAATAGTCTCTCTACAGATCTAACCATTACATATTGTATATGTCCCTGCCAGGACTTTTTCTCTTAAAAAAGTATGAAAGACCAAAACCCACTTTTCAAAATAAGAAAACTATAAAGGAGTAACAAAAACAATCACATTTACACAGCTAGTACAACTAAAAGAAATTTTTGTATGAGTTTACAAAACATACAAACCAACATACAAATAAATAAACATACACTTTACAAACACCAACACAAACACACACACACGCGCACATACACACACACACACACACACACACGCACACACAAATTTCAGCAAATATCCACATAAAATACTGATAATAAAAAACAAATGAATAAAAAGCCGAAACTGAAATGTGCTAAGCAATAGTCACTTGACCACTCATTACCAAAATATCATGTGAAACCTCCCTTTATTTCCTTTCCAAAAAAGTCTATTCAGCATATTCCACAGGGCTCATGCAAGTTTCACATTGTACAATGAATAAAAAACAGGCATGATGATATACACACGTTACAAATACAAAAGATAGATGCACATTCTATAACCTTTCCATTATCAAAATTTCAATGTAATTGTTCTGAATCATCAGCTCTTCCACCAATATCTTCTCATTGCAAATATGTTTTAGATGTCATAATTAAATATCTAAATTACAGAGGCATGGTAATCATCACTCATTCATTGAACCTGAAAGCAGGTGAGTGATATGAAGTGATGAACGTACCACGTAACTATTCAATACATTTCATAAGTTCATCATCATACACTGAAAACTACCAAAATGCTTGTCATTCTGTATTCAATTTATGGTAAAAAAAGGGGCAAAGAACCTGCAATCTGCTCCCATTAAACATATTACGAAGAGCAAAGAGATTAATCATCATATGCAGTAATAAAATTTTCATGCCAGTAAACGGCTCATAAGGCTGCGCCATCTTTGAGCAAAAAAAGCAGTCTCTATAGCTTTTCTTTTTTTCTCCTTCTTTTTTAGGGCAATAATAACAAACAAGTGCAGGACAGAGGAAAATCCCATCAGCAAGACCGAGAACCCGAGAACCTGCCAAAAAAGTCTAGCAAACCAGACATCCTTCCTGTGTCCTGGTCATCTTCAGTGCTTCAACATACTGCAGCAAAACATTACATGCAGGATCTTGGATATGGAATTTCAGAGTAAAATATTCATAAAATGTACACAGCAATGCTTACATGTTGCTGCGAGTCCATGATCTTCCCTAACAGGAGATTTCTATATCACATTTGGAGTGCAGGTCAAGTCATTCTAGTATCAAATCAGCGCAAAACCTTTCTGGTAACAACGGAGCATGTCTATATTGTCTCACATATATAAACACTCTCCTTTCTCAAGTCTAGCACTCACTGAATCAAATCAGCTTTATCTTTGAGTTGAGGGGAAAAGAAATGCTAATTCAGTCTTCAAACAGCAAAACATTGACAATAAACGGATACAATGAAACTGATGAATACATATAAATGAACAAAGAAACACAAAGTAAAACACACGCACATACACACACACACAGAGACACAGACACAGACACACACACAGACACACACACACACAATATATATATATATACAGGTTGTCGCCAAAAAAGGGTATACACACAAAATAATTGTAAAAAAGGCATTTATCAAAAATGTATACACACTTTAACAGTTGCTAACTCAATCAAATATTTTCCTCTTCAGATTAAACCCATTGGAATTTAAAGACGGCAGTAGGCGAGTCAGACTAAGCATTGAACGAAGAAAATTCATTCTAAAATGCTTCTGGACGTGTGAAAACGCAGTTGAAGTGCAAAGACAGTTTCAGAGGGTGTTTCAAACAGATCCACCAACAAAAGTTACCATCACTCAAATTAGAGATACATTTTAAACCAATGTACCTGTTTAGAATGTCCATGAGTAGTGTTCCGGAAGACTACAAAAATCGACAACCCCTAAAAAGGAAGGAAGAGTGCTTTAAACTAATCTCAATTGAGTTATCAGCTGATAAAGTGTGAATACATATTTAATAAACACCTACCTTACAACTATTTAAACTGTCTCTACATCTTTTTGGGACACTCTGTGGCGGTGTGGTGTGTAAATCTATACAAAATATTATATATATATATATATATATATATATATATATATATATATATATATATTATATTATATATATTATATATATATATATAATATATATATATATATAATATATGTATATATATATGTAGATATATAAAATATATATTATGTAGATATATAAATATATATATATATATATATATTATATATAATATATATAATATATATATATAATATATATGTATATATATATGTATATATATATGTATATATATATAATATATGTATATATATATATATATATATATATATATATATATATATATATATGTATATAATATGTATAATATACTATATAGTATATATATATATATAATATATATAATATATATATATATATATATATACATATGTATATTTATATAATAGGATATATAGATATATATATATACTATATAGTATATATATAAT